GAGTCATAGCACACATTTCAAACTTTAAAGATAGAATCCACCATCCTTTTATTTTTCTTACTTCAATTTATTTACTTTCAATAAATCTCTTTTCTTACATTTTCTATTTTTTCTAGATTTACTTGTGGCCATCTGGAGTCATGCTGCTATGGCTTGGGTGTGTTTCCTAAGAGTTTAAGTATTCAGAAACTTGCTCCACAATGGAATAGTATTAAGAGATTCAGTGACACATTTAAGGGATAGATCCTGGCAGAAGGTCATTGGGTCAGGCTTTCAAAAGGGACTATAGTTCTTATATGACCCTTTTGTGGGTGTTTATAGAGGATATTTATAAAATAAGCAACAAGACAATCTCCTTGTGCTGTCTGCTGCCTGGCTTGAAAAGAGAGCCCTTCCTCCACAAATGCTCTTCCATTCACCATTTTCATGAGGCAAGTACCTCCACCATGCTATTTGGACTCTCAATCTTCAAAACCATGAGTAAAATAAACCTTTTTCCTATAAAATGATCCCATCTCAGTTAACTGACATTTGAGAAAGTCCTGGAAGAGACAAAGCAAAAACAGGCATAGCAGCTATTACTCTTTTGTTTTATGGCCTCACAGAAATCCTTTTATGCCATGGCCAATATCATCCAGAACTGTGTTAGTTCAGTTTTAGTAGACTTAGTGACAGCATTTGAAAGGATGAAGAAATGCTCTTTTTATGAGTGATGTGTGCAGAGAATGATGGAAGCTGTGAATTAGTGGTTTCCCTTTCGTTCAATAATAATAGACTGTCAGCTACCCACGGTTTAAGTAACAATGTTCCTCAAGAGAAGGACCATCTCACTTGGCTCAGTGTTTATATTGTTAAGTTTTCTTTGGTGCACCAGACTGAATGCATCTTGAAGTTGCTTTCATTGTGGCAGACACCACTTATTTCCCACACAATGGCCATCTCTCTCTTGCTCTGTGATGCTCATACTGTTGAACTGGCAATCTGAGCAGTGGTGGGGTTCCCCTCTGATGCTAGAGGATGCAGCTGGTCATGTTAATTCTCTTTGCTGATCATTAGTTCAGGACAGCCTCTGATCTAGTTCTAGCCAAAGGGGCCTGAATGGAAGTTAATTTAAGAAACTTCTGGAAACTATTCTGTTCCTCAAAAGACAGTGTGAACTAAAACTTCCCCATACCTTCAATGTAGCTATTTAGAAAAAGGTGGCTGGTGTCATAACAACTTGACAGTGTGGGAATGAAAAGGAGAGAAAGACCTGGAGTCTCTGATGACATGGATAACTGTGGTGATTTTTTGTTTATGACTTAACAAATAAAGCTTGCCTGAAGATCAGAGTGCAAAGCTAGCCACACTAGTCAGCCTTAGAGGCCAGGCAGTGGTGGCACACACCTTTAATCCCAGCAGCCATGCTAGTTAGCCATAGAAACTGGGCCATGGTGGTGAACACCTCAAATCTCAGCACTAGAGAGGAATATAAGCCTGGTAGAGACAGAAGTACAGTGTATTCAGTCTACCGTTGCGATGACTACAGGACACTCATTTTGGTATGAGTCTTGGTAGAGGTAAGAACTCTCTAGTGGTTGGCTGCTTTGCTTTTCTGATCTTCAGCTTGAACCCCAATATCTGTCTCTGGGTTATTATTCGTGCTAAAGATAACTTACTTCAACAATCCCAAGAACAACAAATGAAAAGTTTCCTGTCCTGTGAGAAAATTGAGTATCACGGTGCTCAGAGCTGTGCCAATAAAGATTTTCTCTATGATGTGGGACTTAGTGCACCTGATTGCTCACTGGTCTTGTCCTTCATCTTTTCTACTACACTATATCTACTGTGGCATTCTGCATATATTATTGTGATCCACAAATAACCTCTATCTTAATGCTGTTGTTGATGACCCTACATGCGTTCTTTTCTTGTTATTCTAATATTTTTCTCTTAGTAGAACACATAACCTTTAATTGAATATTAAGAAAATTATCCCATGGCATTGAAAAAGTTTACATTTGTTATATTAATCATGGAAAACAAATAGACACATCCACTGAAAGCAACCAAGTTGAACAAAAATGAATCAACTTAGAAGTCAATATAGCTATATATCCTAACAGTTCTTTGTTTTGGAGGATTATTCAATGTAACCTGGTGTCACAAAGAAAAATTAACTGATTAAAAGCAGTGAGCTTGCTACCCACTAATCTCCATCTAATGATCTCTACTCCATAAAGAAATGTAACAAGATGCCCCTATTTGAGATGGGTACTTAACAAAATAATTACTCTCATTTGTTTTAATTAAATGTCAAACTTCCAGAACATTAAATTTCTTCCTAAAAATATTGTTGTAGTTTCCTAATACTTTCTCAGTGCCATAGCTGAGCATCAGAAGAAAAATAAAACCAACACTTTGGACATTCCTAATAGCCTGTCTAAAATGAGTATAGTCCCAGTACATGAATGATTTACTTTCATTGCATTATTCTTGAAATAATGGCTTCAGGAGGAGCATCATGGTCCATCACCTAAGGCTCACATCATGAAAACTGCATGCTGCTGGTAATTAAGGATTAGCCTGGTAGCATCTCACATCTGTCTGAAAAGCTGTTGATGGATGAACAATGGGTGTAAAAGACCCAGCATCTTGCTGAGAAGGGTTTGCAATGCTGGCAATTATAGATCATTTTCCGAAAGCAGTATCTGCAAACAAAAGGATCAATCATTCCTTCATTGTCCCTTTTTTACGAGCCTAGCTCTTCAGAAAATTAGTTAACTGATAATGGTACTTCCTACAATGCCACCTCCCCTTTCAGTCACTTTCTCTATGGATCAGAGACAATAGTTACCATCACTTGAATTGATAGACACATGTTTAGAGCCTGTATGGCCACTGAAATACTATTCTAGAATTGCAAGTAAAATAATGTGGTTGTGTGGGGCTCCTTTTCAATTAATTCATACCTTAACCATTTCCTATGGCTATCAAAATAAATTGCCACAACTGGATGGCTTAAAATTAGCACACTTCAGCAGGCTACACATCCTATACTGAACATGTGCAAAGCTGCAATCCCTAGGAAACCTACAAGTCAGACTTTTTCTCTCCTTCTTCCACTCTGGACAGTAATTTTCAGCTGTGGGGTTCCACACCTCTGTCACCACAGGACTGGGGAGTTCTTCCATGTCAGTGTTCTCAAGACCTTTTCTTAGAACACATCACCCTATTTGATTAGGGACCATGCAAATGACCTCATCTGAACTTGATTGTACTACAATCCAGTCACCCAGTCTTTTGTCTTATGGCTTCAGCTGAGATCAACTGTGATCAAAATAAATAAATAAGTAAAAACATTACTGTAGTATAGATAGGATATATATATATATATATATATATATATATATATATATATAGAGAGAGAGAGAGAGAGAGAGAGAGAGAGGAGACACAGAGAGACAGAGAGAGGGGCTTATACCGTCACCCACAACATATCATAGACAAGAAACTGGTTTTTGTTTGTTTTTCTGTACTTCAAGAAGAACTTGTCTCTCAGTGCTTAATGAATCTTGAAATTTGATAAAAGTGCATCTGACATGTTTATTTGTGGGGTTGGAGGCAGTAAAAAGACCATAACTGGTTTTCAATATGATAAGCACAAAATGACTTACCTGTGGAGAAACGTAAAGCCTGACACTCTTTGAGAAGAAATACCCTGACAGGTCCATGTGCTGAAGGTTTGGCCCTCAGTAGAGAGTGCTGCTTTGGCAGCTATTTGAAATTTAGGAGGTGGAGCCTACCTGAATGAAGTGGGTTTCTGCTAGCATGCCTTTAGAAGTTGTACCTTGCTAGGACCCCTTTGAATTTCTGTATCTTGCTACGAAGAAGCAGTGCCATTCTTCCAAATGCTTCTATAGATGCCTCATCTTAGGCCAAAGTGATAAGACTAGAGCAATGATAACCACCTCTGACATTGTGGGCCAAAATAGTATTCCCCTCCTTTAAAGTACTTAAAATTGTCATAGTGACAAGCAAAGAAGCAAAGCAGACTACCAAGTATAAAAAACATGGCTCAGAATCCCATTTGTTATCTTGCTAAAGACTAAAGTATATAGAGGTCAAAGCTGAACACTCATTATCAGTGAATAAAGCCTGTCCATTGCTTTTGCAAAACATTTACTTAACACAGACCTCACCCTGCTGCAGGTGTACCACATATTGTTTTCCTGATGTCTCCAAAGAGGAACAGAAAATAATCTTGGAGTAAGGGGGTAGACCCTGTTTCAAGCATATTCTTTAATTCATCTTCTTGCTCACTCTCCCTACAGTGAAAAACCAGTTATGAGCACAATACATTTAACCTTGTCAGACTGAATGAGTTCCAGGACATTCTAGAATTGATGCTTATGCTTGCAGGGATTGATTATGCCCGATGTCCTAGCTCTGGGGCATTCTGAAGCTGTAAGGATGGTGGAGAAATTTGAAACTGTTTCTTTAAGGCTGGAGTCAAGGAGGGGAGCTGGTGTTTCTATTGTGGATGCAGCCCAGGCTACAGTCTGGAGTCCAATTAGCAGAGAGCTTAACAGGGGTTTTGTTTAGCTTAGCAACCGTGCTGCCCCAGGGGCCAGTCAGGGAGGGAATCTCCAGTGAGCTCAGGCCATAATCTGTGCACCAAACACTAGACCTTTTTTTTTATCTCCATGACCCTGGTCCCTTAGGGGGTCTCACTATACTGTGGGACAGGAAGGATTGTTCCTTGCAAAGGGTGGCCCGTGTCTCCTTGGTCATAATTTCAGCAATCTGTGGATCCACTGGGGAGTCTGTCAGACCTGTGAGGAGCTAAACAGGTTTCTGTAGTGGAGAAAAAAGCCTCAAGGACTCTGTGTGCTAGGACCCCAGGATCCAGCTCCAGGGGCCGCCTGGTCCAGATCGCTGCAGGTGGTGGTGGATGGAGCCCTGCAGCCCAGCTTCTGGCGTCCTTGACCTCCAGGTGGTGGCAGCGACGGTAGTCTCTCCAGGACCGAGGCATGAAGGTCGCTGTGTTGGACCTGGGATCTCTCTTTGCCAAGATCTTCAAGACCTCAGCATCCCCTGCGGTCCCCAGCCACCCTGGAGGCTCGATGGCTCCAGGATCAGTGTCCTCCACATCGCATAGCAGGGCTGAGACCCCAACTTTGCTCCCATCGCTGCCTCCAGACACTACAGCTTCACGGGAGCCCTCCACTCCTCTGCACCCTGCCTTGCACCTCAGAAGCTCCTCAGCCACCCGCAGGGTGGAAGCAGCAGGGTGCCCGGGGTCTCTGCCCAACAGCTCTGGAGCATCCAGAGTACCACCCCTGGCCTCCTGTAGCAGCTCTGCAGGCTCCGGCTCCTTGACATCAGTGGCTTTGCCCACCCCAAGTACTGTCTGGGCGACCCTGCCCTCTGTCACCAAACCCGTGGGCAGCAATGGCAGTGCAACCTCTAGTCCAAGGAACCCTCACCAGTCGCCAGGTCCTGGAGAGCGAGAACCCAGTTCGTGGATGGCTCCAGGGCCTGTCCCCAAAACACTATTCTTCACCCTGCCTGACATCGGGGGAGGAGTGGGCCTCTGGCAGTGACTCCCAGGATGACCCAGAAGGGTGAGTCCCAGTCTGTCGATCTCGATTCCTACCCTCTGCCTGCCAAGTTCATCTCTGCCCACTCTTAGGCCGACTTTTACAACACAGACTATGAGAAACTTTTCTGTAACATTCTCAAGAGTAAACTTCTGTTAATCTGGGGAGAAGAGAGGAGGGACAGGACAGCATGCTAGGTCTCTGCTACCCTAAGCATTGAAATCTAGATAGTGAGCCGGGTTTTCCTGGGGCTTTCTTTCCAGCAACAGTCTTTGTGACAGAATACTTGAAGTACAAGGGTGACTGAATATGCAACATAGCAGCAATGGTTTGGTTTTAAGAAATGGCTAAACAGCCAAAGTCTTTCTGATCCCAAGTGAAATGGCTTTCTTTTCAGTGACATCTAGTTAATTTACATATGCATCGAATCATCAGATACAAAGGAGATCCCTGATGCTTAGGATTATGTCTCCCAGAGGTCTTGAATTCCCTCTTGGGGCCCTGTGTTACATCACAAACATGGGCTGACTTCACCTGAATGGGGATTGGAGACTACTTTCATTAGTGAATGTGCTCTCCCCCCCCCCCCCAGTCCTTCTCTCCTTCCCACACATTTTAAAACAAAAAGGGCAATAAACACATCATCCTTACAAAAAAAAGTTCCTAGACTGTAGAATGACAGTGGGTTCTAGTTTTTAGTAAGAAGCGCATATTCTCTATCATTAAGTGTATACATTTTTTTTTCTTTTTGAATGCTTACAGAAGAAAGATGAAATGGTCAAAGGCAGATCCGGGCAGCCCACTTTCAGACTTCAGACAGGTTTCAGCATGAACAGTTGGGTGACATAGCTCAGCCATTTGCACCATCACCCAACAAATCCCGACTGAAAGAGACTTGTTTGAAGACTGATTCTAATTCATTCACAGTGTAAATAGGTATAGTTTTACAAAAAGTGCCTGATATCCTCATCAGTGCTCAAGCTGGGAATTGGGTAGTAGTAAGTTAAATTAAGCCATTTGTTTGAAATAGTATGTTACAAAATTTGCTTATCAACCAGTTACTTCCTGCCCCCACCCCCAAAAAAGGGAAAATCAATTGCATTTGGAAAGCTGCTCCAATTACCTAAGGAAGTAAGCCTTTGTTATTAGCAACTGGTCCTTAACAGTTATACAATTAATGTTTTATGAGCAAACAGATCTACTCAATGACCTTAAACTCTAGGCTCTATGCTTTTAGCAAACACACCCTGGAACAGGCAGAATAAACAGGAAAGGAAATGCCATTAACCTTGATTCGTGCACCTACCAGTACATGTTTGCATTTTCCAAAACCTTTACAATAATTATTTCTTTAAAATAACTGCATTTCATGTTACTTGCAGAAGTTAGTCTGCATTAGCAAATACATTCAGTTTTATTGATAGAGAAGAAGTTGAGTTTTAGTTGCTTCCAGGAATAAAATGGTTTGGAGGGGTGTTTTTTCAAATTCCCTAATGATGACCTATACTTTAGAGCTGAAGCCAAAGGTCAATGGAGGCAGGCCAGCCTAAGTGTATAATTTCCTCTGTAGGTATAAAATTGCTTCTTTTCATCACAAACAGTTCTTTTCTCAGTAAAAGGCAGAAACAAAGAGGAGCAGGGTGATGCATTATATATTTTCCTTTAAACTATTTGTAATATGGAATAAGTACACACTATCAGAAAATGAATTTAGATTATCTCCTTGCCAGCTCACCTGTCAGTAGATAGTCACTGCTATTGGTCTGCTTGGTTAATGTTAAATGTTAATGCTTAATTTTCAAAAGCCAATGGACATGGGAAGAGAGACATGGTTAATGTGGAATTATGAGGGGGAAAGTGTGACTAGAGAGAATTGTGAACACATCCCTGAGGGACAAAAATTCAATTTTAAAACCATAGCACTCGGTTATAGAAGAAAATCTGAAATAACAGTTTAGATAGGTAAGGAGAGAAAATCTCACACAGAGAAATAAAGTGAAAAGGTCAGAGAGCAGAGCAACACAGAAGACAGGTAGGTAGATGATAGATGAATAACAGACAATAGGTAGATAGGCAGTAGATATATAGATAGGTGATATATACACATATAGATAGAGATGACAGATAGATAGATAGATTAGATAGATAATTGGCAGGTAAGTAGATAGTGCTACATTTGAATCAAGGTGGAAGAAACTAAGTTTTCTTTGTCTTGTTGTCTCATATCCCTGGATACAAACTGCAAAACTTTTGATGTTCTCCTTCACCTCCCTGTACATTTCCCTCTATACTGCATCCTATTTGCCCATTTTCTACTAGCCCTTCACTGCTTCATTTTGTACTTCTGGTTCCCTGTAAAGGCCTTATTGATTTCTTCTGAAAATGAAAGAATTTCTAGCAATTTATATAATAGTTATATTACTATTTAATACCATGAAAGAAGTGTATCTCCTATCCTTGGATCAATCTCTGAATTTTTAGGAAAAATACAGAATGCTAGTCATTACCCACCTTTTATACAGAAATTGTCTATTCTCAACCCGTACTGTGACTCAGTAATATTTTACTGATAGTACCATGATGCTTATAGCAACTCATGATCATGAAGGCATTTAGTAAAACACATTAAATATAAAACACATTAAATGAATTAATAAAAATATCTTCTTCCTCTTATGGTTCACTTTCATGAGTTCTTAATCCCAAAGAACCAAAAGCAATTTAATTGTCCTTCTGTAGCAATGATTGTTCTTGGGACTTTTTGTTTTGTTGTCTTGGTATTTTCTCAGAGTAATGCTTTCTCCTGAAACTTGTTATTTCCTCAGGCATGACTCCTGAACTCAGTCAACATGTGTTGAGTGGCTATTACATTCTGTTAGAGTCATATGACCATGACTTTCATTAAAACTTTTCATTAAAATTCATAATCTTGGGCTAGAGAAATAATCTGGTAAAGTATTTGCCACACAAATTCAAGGACCTCCATCCCCATAAAACATGTTATGCACATAAAATAAGTTGGGGTGGTGCATGTGTTTGTAATCCCAACACTGTGGAAGTGAACACTAAAAAACAACTGGTCTTTACTGATAGCCAGCCCAGCTGTATCAGTGAGCTGCAGGCCAATGAAAGGCCCTGTCTCCATAAACAATATGGACAGAGTCCTTTGGCCTCTACAAGCACACACATACACATACACGTACAAATACACATGTGCACACACACATACACACTTGCATGCACAAACCTGCACACACCCTTGTATGCACACACATGCATGCATATACATACATACATACATGTATGCACACACATATACAAACACAAACTTACATGATTTTCAACATATAACTTTAAAATGCAAAACAGTTTTCTTCTTACTGCTTAAGCAGTAGCTGGTATTAACTTTAAATTGTTTTCCTTGTTATTTTATTTTAAAGCTTAAAACTCTGAGTGGTTAGTCTGCTATTACCTTGAAAGAGCAAGTTTAGGTTTTTTACTATGTTAACAGTCTGCATACATGGCATGGTATGTAAACACCCATGTGATACAGGACTGAGGTCCTTTCAAGTTGAATAGTAATGATTCACCTATATTAGAGTAAGTTTCAGTGTAAATATTGAAGTCAGACTGAAATTGATTCAAATCCAATTCTATAGTGTATTTTTTAATGGCAGCCCAACAATGCTGACAGCTGTTCACTCCACTCAACTCACTTTTTCTTCCATTAAACTGGAAATAATAACCTCCAGTCAAAGATATTGTAGGGGTTAAAAGAGACAACATATAAGAGTCCCTAGTCCGGTGTCAGCATTTACAGGTGAAGGCTTCCCTGTCTATGGAGCTTGGGCCCCTCAAGCATGCACATGAATACTGCTGGCACTTCGGGACATTATTCTCATTTTCTCATTTGCTCATCCCTGTCTCTGGCCTCTTTTGGTTGTCTCGGACCTGTCTCACTTCTTGACACCCCTGACACAGACACACTCTATAAACAGCAATTACTATTATTCTAGAATGTTTAGTATTCTGATTCTGCATACAGTATTTATCGCACACAGCATCCTTTGTACAGAGTAGAGGTGATTTTTTTTGTTTTTGCTATGATCTTCAGTTAAAGTTAATGTGTTGTTTTCCAAATATGAACTGTCAACAAATACCTGTTCTATATTAGATCTGCAGGGAGATAGACTTGAATTGTCAGAATACAAAACAGATAAATAATTCAGAAGAGGCTTTGACTGAACCTCCAAGAGCACAGAGCCAAGGCAAGAGAGGTGCTCATAAATCAACCTGCAGGGCAAGGAAATTGTTAGGGGCTGAATTCTTAAAAAAAAAAAATCAAAATTGGGGTATATATTTATATATTTACTTAGGATTTGGGAGAACACTCTAGAAGACTAGAGCTGTGAGACAAAGTATCGAGATGAAAAATAACATATCATGGGAAGAGATAGCATTACTAAGAGCCAGCTTTTGTAAGGAGTAAGGAGTATAGAGAGAAACTAGGGAGACCCTTGGCTACAAGCTTGTGTTCAGTTAACATGGGAAGAGTGACTGAATATGTTCACGCAGAAAAGTGGCACCTGCAGACCCACAGTGTCCAGAGATATGGGAGGGAAGAACTTTCAAAAGACCACAAGGCAGACCAGAGAGATAGCTCATTGGGTAAGCACACTCAGCACCCAAGCCTGAGGAGCAGAGTTCTCATCCTAGGACCTATGAAGAAAAGCCAGGACCAGGGCAGATACAGAAGGATGGCAGGGACTTGCTGGCTGCTAGTTTGAGACAGTGAAAGACTCCATCCCAAGACAAGAAGACAGACGATAGGATACTAGTCACACATTTGTGCACACCATACCCACAACACACAGACACATGGAGAAGAAGGAAGAAGCCATTGCCAACACTGAAAGGGATAGGAATCTGGGCAGAGATATAAAGACTTCAGTATGACAAATATTACATGACCTGTGACAGAAGAAAAAACAAGGGAAGCTAGGGTAAAAACTGATGAT